AATAGGTTAATCCAAAAGTTGGTGACTTTATTATGAAAGGAAAAAAAACCTTTCCAAATAATATTGTGCCCCTTTTTTTTTTAGAACCTACAGAAGTGTGTTCCACCTATTGTATGTATATTTTGTCCCTAATATGTCCCTAGCTGCCTGCAGCTCATCTGTCTTAACAAGCATCGAACACTTCACTCCGTGGGGTAACCCGCAGCGGCTAGTCCACCACATCTCCACATGTGAGACTCGCCTGCCAAGACAGACGCTTTCCCTACACTGTCCCTACAGGAGAGCAGTTGTCTGTTTGAACTGATGTGATTGGAGGGGTGTATGTGGAGTGTCATCTTTGAGGTCTGTGATGTCTTGATGTAGGAAAGTAGGGGTCACGTCATTATAGTCTTATCTACCGCTTTCTGTAAGTACTTCTGTATGCAAGGGAGCACGCAACAGGTTAAAAATAAGAAGATGATAATCATTATAAGAACAGCTGTCCCTACCTGGAAGAGAGTCCTTTGCCAACCATTCATCCACCCAAACCATCTGTCCCAAGTGTCAGTGACTCCTGAATTTTTCTTTAGTTCATCAGAAAGGCTATTTAGCTTTTCTATGGCCGTAGTCACCTTACCATTTGGCCCAGTGTTGTCTGGAATGTATGTGCAACATGTCATAGTCTCAGGGAGGATCTTACATACTCCCCCTTTCTCAGCTAAAATCATATCTAGGGCCATTCTGTTCTGAAATGTCATTTGAGTAGTGGCTTGTAACTGTTCTGCTAGGCCCTGCAGGGCATCCCTTGTGTAGTTAACGAAGCGCTGCTGATTATAATAGATGTAGTTGATCCAATTGACATTTTTGTTAGCAGTTATCATTGGAATTAGGGATTCAAATCCTGCAGCCACTAAATCTCTTGCTTTGAATTCGTTAGGCACCCCCCTTGGCACACCTATGGCATCAATATACACATGGGGGTCGAAGCTCCCTCGGATAGGACCCTTTCGTTTGGTTCTAGAGTGTACATGTGTAAGGTTTAACGTGTTATGACTACCATCTGGAATAATGTGGATAGGCATTATGACTTTGGTTAGGGCACACTCCCCCCACCATTGCCCAGCTAATTGGGACCTCAATTGTTTGTCACCACATAACCAATAGATATCACCGATTGTCTTTGTGTGGTTCATTAGCAGTGATACAGGTGGATTATGGTAAGTTGAGCAGTATCCTGATGGGAATTTGCCCAGATACAAACCAGCGTTCTTAGGTATTGCATAACATGTGTAATTACCTGAGTAGACGGTGACTCCATCAGGTGGTTTTACATGTCCCTGAGTGATTGGGTAAATTCTCTTCCATGATTCACATGTTGAGGAGTTGGTGGTGGATTGTGCATAAAGACTCAAAACACATAATTCTACTTCGGGGGGTAAGCTCAGAGGTACTGTACCCAGATGGGGCCTGGCTCCTCCACATACATAACAGTTAGTCTTATTATGTGAGTTAGCATTATACCTCATCCATTCTAGCCACAAATTAGTGTCTGAAAACCCAGTCTCTACTGCCATGGTATCTTCAAAGGTGGGGTTGGCTATAGCTACCATGTCATGTAGGGTCTTAATATGTGGCTTTAATGGGTTAATGATCATGTGAGTAGTCCCTACCCAGTCTGGGGAGGTGAGCATGTCTTGTAGGTAAAATGTCCCCAATGCATTATGTGAGCCACCTCCCTTCCAATACATTCCCATCACATATTCCCCTGCATCCCTTGGGTTGGGGTGTTCTATATTCAGGGTAAGTTTAATGGGAGTTGACCCTATGGGTTTACTCAGAGTCATTCTAGAAAGTAGGGGTTTCCCATCTTTGTCAAGTCTATCCAGTGCAACTTGAGGTCTGTAGCCCCATGGTCTACCTGTATTCCACCCGGCAGCTTTCCATGAACTACAATGGTGTCCCCAAACTCCTCCAGTCACACAAATGTATGGATCCTTTTTGTTAGGTATGTCTTTGTATATGGCTGCATATTGTGTTTGTGGAAATGTACAAGTAACTATGTCACAGTAATCAAAGGTGTATGTGGCTACATCAGTATTAGAAAAATTGTACCAGAAAGTGTAAACGTGATTATCTTTGGTTATGGCCACTTGTTGGGCCCAGGCAAAGTGTAGCAGCATAAGAAAACACAAGACACATAATAAATTCATATTTCAACAGGATCAGCTTCTTCTGGAGCAGGCACTTTTTTGCAATGTGAAGCGTGTATCCAAGAACTCTTTCCAGCTAGTTTAACTGACGTTGCTGTAATCAGGAGCACTTGGTAAGGACCATCAAATCTTGGTTCTAGGGTGTGTTTTCTGAGAAACTTCTTGACCATAACCCAGTCACCCGGAAGCAGCTTGTGTGTACCTGTATTCGACTCAGGATCTGGAATAGAAGAAAACACTTGGGCATGTATCTTGGTCAAGGCATGTGAGAGGGCAGTCACATAGTCTACCATAGCATCTGACTGAATCTGAAGCTGTTGGGGAAAGTAGCAACCTAACCTGGGTGCTGTACCAAACAAAATCTCATAAGGTGACAAGCTATATTTTCCTCTGGGAGTGTACCTTACACTAAACAACGCTAGTGGGAGACTCTCGGGCCAGGGCATGTTAGTTTCTTGTGACATCTTAAGCATTCTGGCTTTCAAAGTGCCATTCATGCGTTCTACCTTACCGCTACTTTGTGGGTGGTATGGTGTGTGGAATGCAAGGGTCACCCCCGGTGCTGACCAGACTTCCCGTGTTAGCGAGGCAGTGAAGGAGGTCCCTTGGTCACTTTCAATTACTTCTGGAACTCCATAGCGGCAAACAATTTCTGTCAAAAGATACTTGGCTGTAGTCCTCGCGGTGAGATTAGTCACTGGGAAGGCCTCTGGCCATCCTGAAAACATGTCCACTATGATCAATGCATATAACGTCCACTCTTTGGCATCTGAATGTGATCAATCTGGATCCTCTGGAAGGGGTATTGTGGTTTAGCTAGGTGATTAGGTGCGGTCTTTATGGTCTTTCCAGGATTGCATATAGCACATATAGTACAAGATTTACAGTAATTCTGTGTTAAGGTAGTGATGCCTGATGCTTCAAAATACTTGTCAATCAGTGAGTTCATCAGGAGTTTCGACAGGTGGGCTGGCCCATGGGCCCATTGGACCACCGCTGAGTACATACTTCTGGGTAAGCAGAACTTGAGATTGATGGTGTAAACATCATCACGGAGTACAGCTCCTTTATTCTTCCAACTTTGTTTCTCCTGGGGAGTAGCAGCAGCTTGTTGTTCCTTCAGAAGCCTAAGATCTGTAGGCAATGTTTGCATAGTGTAGATGGGTAGTGTAGCTGTGGCCACTCTTCTGTCCACTTCCCATCCTTGTCGTGCTGCTTCCTTAGCTGCCTGATCAGCTAAGAGGTTGCCACGTGCTTCTTCTGTGTCTAGTCTTCCGTGGGCTTTTACTTTCAGTACTGCCACCTCTGCTGGGAGTTCCAATGCATCCATCAGTTCTGCAATAGCTGCCCCATGCTTTACTGGGGTACCGGTAGCCGTAAGAAATCCTCTGGTCTTCCAAATTAAGCCAAAATCCTGTGCTACTCCCAGGGCATATCTTGAATCCGTGTAAATATTGACACGTAGACCTTCAGACAATTTGCAGGCCACAGTCAGGGCTGTTAGCTCGGCTTCTTGAGCAGACTTAGCTGGTTGTAGGGCAGCTGCTTGTAATACTTGACATCCTGTGGTGATTGCATACCCAGTGTGATATTGTCCCTGTTCATCAGCAAATCTTGACCCATCCACAAATAGTGTTTGATCTGGGTTGAGTAATGCAGCTTCATAGACAGTTGGTAGGTGTGTAGTTTCCATTTTCATTTGTTCAAAACAATCATGAGGAATATCTAGGTCACAGTCTGTGGTGAGTGGATCTTCACAGGCTTCTGTGTGGTACCTTGGGTACCCTTCTGTACAGTAGTTAATAGTCTTTTTGTTGATCCCCGTAGAAGTCAGTTGTTCTTGGGTCATTTGGCTCCAGGTTTTGGCCATCGGGCCTAGGTCTTTCCATGAGGTGTCGGGGGATCTGGTGAGAGATATGTGTGGGATAGCTGTTTCCCAAAGATGATAGAGATGTGTTACATTCTCTGGAAGATGGACTAAGATGAGCATGGTACCTGTGGGGTCCCAGAATAAGTCAGTCAGGGTAATTTGAATTTCTTTAAGCTGGAATAGTTCTTCCTCATAGTTCATATCAGGGCCTGGTATGTCCTTAAACCACAAGGTACAGTGAAGTAGGGCCTCTGATTGTTCATCATGTGGAGGTGCAAGTGCAGGCAGCTGCAAATCTGTTCGAACCTCTGGGTTGATATCCAGGCTATACCAGTAATGCACAACTCCCCCTTTGGGAAGTGGCAGAAGAGTGGCTGGGTTCAGGGAAAGACATCTCTGGAGTTTCACATTGTCAGGTAGAAGTAAGGAGGTTTGCAGACGGAGGTGACGTTGGGAGGAAAGGTGTTTAGGTTGAACTTGTTGCAGGATTGCAGTAATGTCATGAGGGGCCAACACTGTGAGGTGATGGCCAAGAACAAAATCATTTGTCTTGTCTAGGAGGGCGCTGGCGGCAAACACCGCTCTGAGGCAAGAGGGGCTACCCCTCGCAACAGGGTCAAGCATGCAGGAAAAATAGCCAATAGGGCATTGCCGTGACCCATGTTTCTGGGTAAGGACTCCGGAGGCATGTCCTGACTTTTCAGAGACAAACAAATTAAAAGGAAGTTGGTAGTTGGGTAGGCCCAAAGCAGGTGCAGAAGCAATAGCTCTTTTCAGATTGTGGAAACAGGTGATTGTTTCTTCAGTGAGGTGAAAGGGCTCACTCCTGAGGGCATCGTAGATGCTTCGGGTATCCAGGACCTGCAATATGTGATAAGACCCAAAAAGGCATGAAGAGTCTGATGTGTCGCAGGTAAAGGGAGTTGCAGAATAGCTTGCACACGTTGAGAAGTTAGATGTTTGGTGCCATGGGAAAGGCAATGTCCCAAGAAGACCACAGAGGGCCGGCACCATTGTAACTTCGATTTTGAAGCTTTGTAACCGGCTGCAGCGAGGAAGCATAGGAGATCTTCTGAGTCACGCTCTGCAGTGGGCAAATCAGGAGCACAGAGAAGGAGATCATCAACATATTGAAGCAGGACAACATCCAAATGAGATTTCTGCCAGGGATCCAGAACCAGGGACATGGCATGAGCAAACTGTGTGGGGGAATTCTGAGCCCCCTGAGGCATAACAGTCCAGGTATATTGTTGTCCTTCATGAGTGAAGGCGAAGAGAAAGCGGCAGGAAGGGTCAAGGGGGACACTGAAAAAGGCATTAGCTAGATCCACTACAGTGAATATTGTGGAAGTTGGTGGGACTTGGGACAAGAGGGTGTGAGGGTTTGGAACAATAGCAGTGTCTTTTATGGTTACTCCATTAACAGCACGGAGGTCCTGCACCATGCGGTACTGGTCGGGTTGACCCTTAACAGTTCGCTTTTTAACAGGGAAAAGTGGTGTGTTACATGGAGATGTGCACTTGATGAGGGCACCTTTGGCAAGGAGGCTTTCAACTTGTTTGGTAATGGCTTCAGCTTGTGCTGGCTTCAGAGGATACTGTGGTCTACGAGGAGGTAGTGCTCCAGGCAGGAGCTGGACCAAGACTGGGGGTACATGTAAGCGCCCAATATCATCCGGGCCGGTGGACCAAAGTTCTTGGGGGATACGATCCAGAGCACTGGGGGTGTGTGAGACCCGTGCATTCCCTGTATTGTCAGTTAGGTTCAACAAGATGGGGAGTGAGCAGAGGACAGAGGTATCTTTTTGTGATAAGGGGGTTGTCAACTCAACTTGACCATCTGCAGTAAAGGTAATAGAAGCCTGGAGCCGAGAGAGAACATCGGCACCTAGGAGGTTAATGGGGCAAGTAGAGGAAACAACAAACCGGGAGAGGATGTGTGATCCTACGTGTAGGAGCTTAGTAAGGGGGTTACTGCGTGGTGTACCATCCACCCCAACACAGGAGACATCGGTGTCAGATAAGAAGGAAGGGTCTGGCAGGTCTTGTTCCCTAAGGACACTACGGGCTGCACCTGTGTCAACTAGAAAGGTGGTTGGGTGACCCTCCACGGGGAGAACTACAGTAGCTAAAGGCCCTCCCCCATCCCCCGCAGACACTGCCATGGCAGGGGTTGCTGACACAGGCTTGCCAGTTACCTATTGTAATAAATCTAGATGGGCCTGGTCTGGTCCCTGGTACCGGCGGGAAGTGGAGGGAGGGTTAGTAGAATGCATGGGAGGACGGGATGGACGGATGGCGTGGCGGGGCTGTGGCTGGCTGTCTTGGAAATCATCATTGTCATACCCTTCAGCGGAGGGCGAAGTGTATGCACGAGCTTCTGATGCAGGGAGCCGGGCTTGGGTGTATTCAGGAGGAGGCGGAGGAGGAGGTGGAGGAAGCTGTGGCAACTGTGGATGGGGCAGGGCAGGGAGGTAACCAGTGGAGGGGAAGTTATAGCCGGTGACATGGGGACTTGGGTACCTAGGAGCCTGTTGGCGGAACACTCTAGGGTGTGGGCAATCTCTTCTAAAGTGACCTGGCTGATTACAATTAAAACCGGTCCGGATTGTCGTGATAGTCCGGTCCCGGGAGAAGGGAATTGGTGCAGGCAGTGTCTGGGGTGACCGAGTGTACTGTTGGGGGAGTAACTGAGGAACTTGGTTAGAACCTGCAATTGGTGTGGAGGTAGTGTACATCAGAGGACTGGTTCTTCGCTGTGTGGGTTGCAAAACAGATTCTAAGCCTTTGGCTACCAACAAAAGAGTGTCCAGTGGAATAATTCTATACTCAGGGCGAGCTAAAATTAACCCCTTACGAATGTGTTCCCTAAGACTTGCCACAAAAGCTGCAGATAGCATCTGGGTGTGTGCCTTGTTATAGGTGCTGAATCCTAAGTCTGAAAAAGTCTGAGTCAACCTAGAGTGATACTTTTCAACTGTCTCAAGTTTATCCTGAATTATGTCATTTATGCAAGTAGCCTGATCAGCTAGTTTATCCTGTGCCCAGGCTCGAAGCTGTTCACAGAAAATTTCACCAGAACGAAAATCAGTATCAGAAGTAAGTGGAGCGTCGTTAAAGCTCCGTTCCATAATTGGCCAGTATGCATCTCCAGCCTTTATTTCACACAAACTAATAAGATCCCGCCAAGCAGCGGAGTATGTTTTACGGATCTGGGCCATCCTGCGGAAAAAGGGCATGGGGTGTTTCTCAGGATCAGGGAGTGAGGTCACAAGGGTAGCAGCTTGGGAAGGGTTGAAGGTAACATACATGGGTGGTGCACCATCCGCTCCATGGTTAATCTGGGTATAACCCTGGGGGATAGAGTGCCGTTGGGGGTGCCTGTTCCCCCCTAGGCGAGGTGAGCCCTGGTCCACCACAACGACCTCCTCGGGTACCACCGGGCCGCGGTGAAAAGTAGTCTCAGGGGTAGTTGTGGTGGGGCGGCAGGGAGGCCGGTGATAGGAGAGGTAGTCGGGTGGAAACCTGAGGCCTGGGGGGAAGCACCCATCGCATAGGGTTGGTCCGATGTCACAGACACCTCGGACCCAACCACCATGATTGGATAACTAGGACTGGCGGAAGGGACATGAGGAATCAATGCCGTGGAAGGGGCTGTTATGGGGGCCGGTTGAGATGGGCGTGAGAGGTGAGTATTTAGGACATGAGCAAGAGCAGAGATTGGATCGGAAG